TCCAAGATGGCTAAAAACTATAAATAATTTAAAAACATATTAAAAATACCGTAAAAAACCTCCTCTAATTTTGGCCAGATGCTGGGGGGGGGGGGCAACCCAATACTGTTAATAAGTATTGTAAGTTACCATATAAAAGGTCATAGCAATATCCACATTTGTATTCTGTCATCTATATATTGGACAGTATTAGATAGAAATGCCACTCCATTTGGTAAAAATATAAAATTAAATTAAGTATGTTAATTTAATTTAATACATGAAAAGTATTCACAGAATCCTCCATGAGGTGGCTTATCAGTGACAACAGACCAGCATGCACTTAGAATCCCATATACTCCCATATCCTTTAAACAAGAGCTAACTTTTTAGACTAACATAATTAAAATCCAGTCCAGTCCCAGGTAGGAAGAACCGAACCAGAAACCAAGCGATTAGAAAGACTAAACATAGCACCTATAAATAGGCATCCTTTACCAACCATAAGCCTAGAAATTAAGTCTTTAAGCTTAAGAGCTCTAACTATAATCTGTTAGAAGCTCCTTGCAAACTCTAACTCACAAGCAGAACTTTATAGATAAATAAGCAGAATTTTACATATAAATAATTTTGTTTTTCTGGCCTTTATCTGGGCTGACATAGAGGGCTAATTGCTTCTCACAAGTACATTTGTACTTAGACAACTAAAAAAAAAGTCTATGCATGTGCACTTGCACACACACTGACATGCAATGTTATCCTTAACAGAAAGGGGAGTGGAAGTCATAGCAACTTAATCAGGGTAATATTTGGGGAAATTTAATTATCGAAATCTTTATGATAAATTTAAAATATGACTAAAATAGTCATAATTTTCATAGCTCTGAATTGAAACATTTAATCTTCTGTTCTTTTGTTCTACAGATGTATAAATAGAGAAAACAATGTCAAATATTTTAAACTGAATGTTTTACATGAGAAGGAACTAATGACAGTGCTGCATAACAAAAAGAACAAACAAACAAAACCAAAAGCCAAAACACAAAACAAAGCACCAAATGACAAAAAATTGCTAGACTGTTAGGAAATATACCCCATAAAGTTACGCTCATGCAAACTTGTAGCTTTTATATTGAACAAGGTTAGATGTGGAAAACGAGTAATTCTTTTTAGGCAATCGATTACTATTACTATTATTATTTATAGTAGATATATATAGCTTTCTATATTTTTCTGTTTACAAAGGTAAGTAGTAATTAAAAGTATTTGCTGACAAAACACTTCTGTTGATGGGATGCTCTTTTTGAAAATGGGGATTGAGAATCTTTTTAATAGTGGGTTTATACATTTTTAGAAAAAAATATTCCAACATACAAAGGCAAAGAATGATTTGCATGCATCATTTACTGTACAACTTATATACTGATTTTTAAGATATGTCATGGAATCCAAACATAAGAAAAATTGGTTCACTAGAAACAACATATAGTTCAATTTTTTATCTATACTCTTAACATTTTGCAAGCATTTAAAAACTAGTATGAGAAAAGACAAATAATCAAATCCGATTTGTATTTAAAACAGGTTTGCTGAAAAATACGAATGCAAAAGATTTTAACATTTTTTTTACATTTATAGATATGTATTTGCAGCTGTTTGTGTTAATACATAAAAAATCAGTATCTATATATTTTACATACCTTTTGTTTCATGATCATGTCATTGATTTCATCAACATCACCCACAGTAACTATCTGAGATTTTATCATTCGATCCAATAGAGAAAGCCACTCATTGAGATCTGCCCATGCCTTATTGAAATCAGCCAGGGCTGGTACCTCCAGAAGCAAAGATGATGGCATTTCTTGTTTGGAGATGGTCGTTTCCGTGGTTACTAGAGTTTCTGTAACCACAGTAACAGTTTGGTTAGGAAGTTACTGAAAAGGGGAAAATACAATAATATAATTCTTGTAATGGTAATTATTTTAGCATTATTATTTATTTATTTGAAGTGTCCTCAACTTTTTTGTTTTGTTTTAATAATTAATGTGCATTTATGTGTATTTAGGCATAGTGATAGCCCTGCAAAATGTCTCTTTTCTGGAAAGGAGGGATTAATTTCCAGATGAAACAATCGAGTTATTCTATTTCTCCGTAGCCTTCTGACTTCCTTATACTTGTATTTTTTTAATGCCATATCACCTTGGGAAAGATTAGCTAGCTTCTGATGTTTCAATACCCTCTAGCATTGTTTCCATGATGATCTGGTACAGAAAGATGAACAGATTCAAAAGGGTCTGAGAAGAGACTAAGAACTCCACTGGTTTCCCTAAGAGCAGCTGTTTAGGTTTATTTTAAAGTATAAATGTAAATCCAACCTTTACATTTATCAGAAATTTCTCTATCCCCATTTCATTATATGAGAAGTTTTTGTTTCACTTTACACTCCACAAACTGCAGGCCCCAACAAATTTATTTATTTATTTATTTATCATATTTATATATTATTCCTAATACAAAACATTTCTGGCCATGATTTCAATATGAATAACTTTCTAGCTAGGAAAATGAGGAACATCAATGTTTCCTAAAAACAAAACAAAACAAAACCCTAACAACACTATCACATAAAAAGTAAATCTCCTAAATCTGAAACATATTGCATGGCCCTTTTATGGGAATCTGAAACTAAGGTTATAAGCCATTTCTAAATGTCTAAAGGTAGTGGGTACTGTATATACTACTGTATATGCTACATATTCATAGGTATTTTATGCCAGCCAAACAGTATCACACTATTTTATACCATATTAAATTAGTTAGAAATAGCTGCTTTTTACTACACTATAAGGCAGGCTAGAACTTTAATTACAATCTTTTTGCATAAGGCTGGGAAATCATGAGCTGCTTCAGCTTTTTAAAGCTAAAAAAACACTAATTTTTTTTCAACTTGGGTTCTTTAACATTTTTGCACTTACTAATGTACATATTTTAATATTATTATTTGTTATGGGCCTTGTTTATTATAGTTTATTGGGCCTATTATTGCAATTTTATAATGACTACAATATGTTATAGCATTATTCCTGTCTTTATCCTACACTTTTACTATGCTTAGTTGTAGGTACATTATAAGTAAAATTACTACTACTACTACTTTTAAAACAGACATAAAAATATGTTTGTTTTTTAAGTTGAGCATTTAATTATCATATTTCTTATCTATGTTTTCAGTTAGAAATGATGGCTACAGGCATATTTCCATTTAAAAATTAGAGATTCAACAAAGTGACTTACAAAATGATGACTAAACAGAGCATAAAGAAACAAAAATTAGCTTATCTCAACACCGAATGAGAGACAAAGTGAAACAAGAACTTCAACTATCACAGCTTGGAATCTATACACATATCTAGTCTTGAAATATGCAAAGTATGCATGTCATTGCATATAACAATTGCTCTCATAGCACAGCAGGATAATGTAGGTGAAGTTCTCTAAAGGCTGGTGGAGAAAAAAAATAGAACATTGACATTTATTGCTCAATTGGGCACTGGAATGTTCCTGAATGAAGAATGTGTGAATAAATGTGTGAAATTCCTAACCTTATTCCTTTATATCGCCAGCAGGAAGAACTTCCTGCTGAGCCAAGTGAACCCCTCGGCTAAATCAAATGATAACTTAGCTACTGGCCTCAGATCACCTACAGTGCTTTTAGTCTACCCTGACATCAGCTGAGTCACCCAAAGCATTCTTGAAGAACTACAGCACCCTTCCCAAGAACTCCAACAGCAACTAACCCTTAATAACAATGCACCCTTGAGGCAACAACAGTACCACTCCAAGCCATGGTTTGAAAAGGACTGTGTTAATGCCAAAAAACTCCTGCTACCGCTTACCAATCTTATGTAGCCAATACTGAATCAAGAGTTGCACTAGACCTAGCAGAAGAGAAGCTATGAACAACTACTGTTATGCAAGAAAAGGAAAGCCATGAAAAACACTGGATGTGACTAATTCAGGCAGTCAAATCCAATGACTTAGCCTCATTCTGACATATCACATCAAGCTCCCAAAGCAATGGTCCATCGATTGTGGATTGTCACATCCCCCAGTGACCTGCGAGACATATTTTTGAGAACTCTATATGGATACCCCTACTGAAAGTGGATGCCCCAGATGAGCTATAGAAGACCTGCCAATTTAGACTCCAGTGACAGTGTCACAGATCAAGGATCTTGTTACTCAAATAAGATCAGGAAGGCCCCACTGACACCTATGGCTGAATTCTCAAGAACTGGGGGCTTGCAATCACTGTCCTTATATATTAAAAAAAAAAAAAATTGGGGGGAGGGGAAGGATGATTCTGCTAATTATAGACTGACTAGCCTCATCAACACAATCAGCAAGCTGTATGCAAGACATTTATAATGTAAATTCCAGGACTGGCTAAAACAAGAAAACATTCTTGTAAAGGACAAGGTTTTAGGGAAGGCTGAACCACCACTGATCAGTGCCTTGTACTCCAGCATCTGCCTCCCCCATGTCACACCTAACTGAACTTGAAGTGATTAAATACAGAAGGGCCTTTACTCTGGCACGATATCATGGTCAGCTGTCCTTGAAGGTCAATACAAGCGAGATTCCTTACTCAGAGAGACAATGTTCCTATGATTCTGGACACACAGAAACAATAGAGCATGTGCTTCTCTAGCGCCTGTACTACAGAGAAATTTGTACTAGTCTTATCTTACCATTACTACATAAATACTCAGGGTGCACAGAACATTTTTACAACTCCCTATTGCTTTCAGATACCAACCCTGTTGCCAGATTTGTGGCAGCAGCACTTAAAATTCATGAGAAGATGACTTATGGTCAGGGCTCAACTTTATAAACTACATCTAATGAGCACCTAATTTGCCATATTAGAGTGCTCTATAACTTGATAGAAATAGCTTCCACCATATCTATCAAGTTTGAAGAAGTTTGAGCTTTCTGTGTAGTATCTTAGCTGTTCCTAACACTGCACTCTTCTGGACAGAATGCTCTGATGTTCCTGGGATCTGTTGGAGCCACTCTCCCAGCTTAAGAGTCACAGCCCTGAGTGCTCCTACCAACACTGGGACCTCTTTGGCCTTTGCTTTCTACATCCTCTCTAGTTCCTCCTTCAGGCCCTGGTACTTCTCCAGCTTCTCATGCTCCTTCTTCCTGATGTTGCTGTCATTTGGCACTGCTACATCTATTATTACAACTGTCTTCTGGTCCTTGTCTACTAGAATTTATATATATACAGTATAATCCCTCATGCTTCTTTTCAATACTGTACCCCTCCCCCTTACACTGATCTATGGCCATAATAAAGATTTTATTTGGTTGTTACATTAAAGGGCCCTGGTACTTCTCCAGCTTCTCATGCTCCTTCTTCCTGATGTTGCTGTCATTTGGCACTGCTACATCTATTATTACAACTGTCTTCTGGTCCTTGTCTACTAGAATTTATATATATACAGTATAATCCCTCATGCTTCTTTTCAATACTGTACCCCACCCCCTTACACTGATCTATGGCCATAATAAAGATTTTATTTGGTTGTTACATTAAAGTAAAGTTTAAGTAATGGCAACGGTTGTCACAATTGTGGCAAAGCCCATTCTTATGACTGAAATATATCTGAATGTCATGGAATGTGATCCTTAGTCTCCAAATATAGTGACACTGATCCTGCAAATCTGCAATTTAAAAACACTTAAATGTATGTAAGAATATGTAAATTTTTACAGCTTGTTTATCCTGAGATAACAAAAACTAGAACTATTCAAATAATATAAATTCATAATCAAATCAAATGAAAACTCAAAATAGAATATACCATACTATATATATAGTGGCATTCTGTATGATCTATTCATTAATTAGTTCATTCATTCAAAGAATGAATAGTTTATAGTGTCTCTCAACACTCACATCTACTGTATAAAATTCAAAATTCTTACCAGATTATTATCTAGATGTTGTATGGAGTTGTATGGAGATACAACTGATAAATAAGTTGTATGGAGATATAATTGATAAATATTGCTTCCACATGTAAAAATTAAAACAAGCTCTATATTAGTCATACAAAATAAATGCAGTTTTAAGGATTTGGAAATACTGCCCTTAAGGCTGCAGGGGAACAATATAGAGCTACTGTCATTTTTTTTTTTTAAAAACTGCCTGCTCCTGGTGAACCAGCCAATGTTGGTTTATTATACAATAATAAACATGTTAAATGAAAATAATTAATCAATTAAAACATCATAAAACAATAAATAAAACCTATGAAGGAAGCATAAAATCTGAATCAGCCATCAGACAATAATATAGAGTGCAAAATTAGAAGAGAATGCTTGTTTACTTAAGTAGGTCCTTAGATTTCTTGCAGTCAGCAAATGAGCATGATCGTACACTTCGGGGTAGGGAATTCACAGAGTTGGTACTACCACTGAAAAATCCCTGATCCTAGATGAATGTAGCCATGCCTTCTTCTAGGGACCAATCCTAAAAGCCCCATAGAAAATTAACACAATGTCCTTTCTGACATAATAGACCAGATATCCCTAAAGACAAATAACAAATGTATATGTTTAAACAAATAGGATGAATTTGATTCACAATGCAATGGCAAGCCAAATAACACTGGACAGAAGCCAACCACTTTCTGAACCACATAAGGCATATAACAATAATCTATTCAGAAGGTAACCAGCACATGGATCATGGAAACCAGACCAGCCTTATCCAGGAAAACATAAAAATGGTAAACCATGCCCTGCTGCAATAAGGCACCCCTCTCACCTAAGCACTCCAATCAAAAGTATGTTAACGTGATTAGTATAGCTACTCAATATTAAAATGCC